CACACCCGAGTTCTAAAACCATGGACTATTGGAAAATGGATGAGCACAATGCCCTCTTGTTGGAGAATTTTTATTTTTTTTTTGTAAAGTAGAAACGCACACAAACACTGAGAGAGCAGTTCATTAGCTTTCCCAACAGAGAGACAGATCAAACAAATTTATATTCCATTTTCATCAAGGTCATTCAGCGGTTCTTCACAAAATAACGTGCTAACAAGCTCCCGTATCAAAAACCAGCATAGCTGCCCTGTAGCGCTGGACACTGAACCCCTGCGACTTCCCAGCATGTGACCTCTGACCTTGTGTGTTTTTCTCGAGCCTCTTTCAGACAACAGGCAGTGAATGGATCTGATGTTTGTGTCTGAAAAAGAACCCTGGTGCTGCTAAAATACACTGAACAAATATAACCAGACTGGACTGGTCCTAGAAACAGTCTTGGAGATGAGATTTTTTATTCGAAGTCGTCTCGTTATCATGGCAAAAACGCCAGATATACTGAGAACCTGTTCTCCTCCAGTTGGCAGTGGTACAATTTAACGCTGGTGATTCCAACAATCACTGCTGCATGTGTAGCGTAGCATCGTTTTAAAAATATAGAGATTCACAGTAGTAAGTTTAGCTTTACTTTTACGATTAATGTAAATATTTGACACGAGTACAAACCAGAAGAGAGAAAAGTGAAACATCTTTATGACTGTAGATAACTGCAGGTATTTTTACCAGCATGGTGTGTTTAGTTATTGTAAAAGGCTTAATGAAAAAAAAGAATACATTTAAATGAAATGTGCACTTTTAGTTACACCTTACTTACAGTATGGTAGATATTTTGAGTGTTTTATGTCAGTTTTTATCATACCAAAGCTGCTAAAGTGTGGAGATTTAAAAACCTCCAACTTTCTATGAAAAACATGATCATTTTTTAACTACAACAGGTTCAAAGAATAAAAATGCAAACCGAGCTGTAAAAGTGGAAATGAAGAGCTTTACTTTAAAATGTCTATTTTTGTTAATTATTGCTGAAAGATTTAATAAAACAAGTCACATGGGGAAATTTGATAAAGGAGACCAGAAGATGGATCATCGCAATAAGAATAAAAGAGAAACCAGGTGACACTTTGTATTTCTTGTGTGCATAGCAGCAGCGAGAGACAAAAACAAAGACATGTTTGGTCCTCAGATGTATACTGTGTCATTAAACGCAGCTTTTATGAAGTCCAAATTTAATACTGTTGTCATAGCAGAACAGAGGAGACAAGTGCTGCTGCGTCTCAGAATAACTATATACTTTACAAAAAACAAACTTAAGTGACACAAGAGCTTTTTTAATATCAAGATGTGGCCGCTCTGCTGTTCCCACAAGACTCTCCAGCACATCTCCTAAAGTACCTTTGACTCTGTTTTTTTTATTATTTCTTTAAACCTAATTAAATCAAAACAACACTCGATTAAACGTGAAATAAAAATTAGACAAGCGAGTGTAAAGCTGGATAAACCGTCTTTGCTTCAGTTTCTGCCCCACTGAGGACATCTTCAACTCAAACATCAAACATGATCTTTGTTCTTTCTGCAGCGTATTTGCTTCTGTTTTAAACCAATCCTCCAAACGCGTCTATTCAACGCAACTTTTTGTTGACAACACGCAACAGAGCATGTCGAAAACAAAAAGCAGGATTTTTTTTTTTGTATTTATCTAAGTTAAATTGTGTTTCATTGTAAGAAAAAAATAATTTGGGTTCTTTGAAATCCTACCACATATAATCTCTTGGTTCTATTTGCACTGATTAAGTGGTAGAAAAACATTATAGTAATATTTACAGTGTTAGTAGTATCATTATCAGAGCCAAAATGGAGAAAAAAACACATAAAACCATCAATTTCTGAGAAAATAGTATTTTGTTTAATTTTTGTGTTGCAGAGGCCCACTGCTTTAAATAGTAGTTTTGGAGATTTTTAAAATAGCAAACTTTGTGTTTGAATTTAGCTTGTTTATCTGAGCTGTTTTGGAGTGAAACTCAGTTAATTAGCATGCCAGCTTTGTTTGGCTCTTTACACACTTTTGTTTGCTGCATTTTTGAAAGGTACACATGGTTACTTATTGCCACTGCCTAGTCTGATAACTATTCTTTGCAAAATTGATGACGGTCATTTTGATTGTTTGGTTTCAAGGCACAAACTCGACTGTAAAGCCCAGCCTGGAAATTTCCAATAGGTTTCAGTTCTGAGCTTTGAGAGGGTATTATTAACTATTTAAATTTGAACCATCAAATTATCTCCCTTACATGAAAGAGAATTTATTTAGGATGTTGTGGAACATTATAATGTTATAAATCTTATATAAAGATTATTTCACTTCTTACATGGAAAAATGGACTTATAATGAATGAAATCATCTGCCAGTGGAACTAATACTTGTGAATCAATATTAAGAAATTATTGACATAAAAAAAGCTCCTACATCTTGCTGAAACATTACATGCAAGTCATTTTTTTCTTATTTCAAGCACTAAGAACTAGATGAAAATGCTTGGTAAGATTTTATATTTTTGCAGTGTACAATTTTACCAACTTCTCCTCAAACATAAGAAAACCAAAATCAGGAAACAGTGCACCATTGGTTAGCCATTTGTGGATATTCCTGTGAAATGTGTTGAGAAATTATTCACAAAATATCTGACAATTCTTAGATGAGATAGAGTATAGTAAAAATAGTTAAGACTATGCAGTTTGGGAAGCTGAAATGCCAAGACTCAATGCTACTTTACATACTGGAAGCTATCTTCCCAGTTGACACAATGCCAAACTGTCATGTTTAAGAAAGTAAGGCGTGAAACAGCAACCAAAGTGCACAGATAATATTTAAAGGTTATCAGAAAACACAGAGAACTGTTGTTCAAGATTACTTTAAAAGATGACATGAAAGTCAGAAATGAATAATTAGAACTGTGTAACTTTGTGGAAGTGATTCATTGATGTGAGGAAGAGTCAGTTGAAATGATTCAGGCACATGGAGTAAACATTTACATCTTTAGTCCAGGTTCTGTCTCCAGCTAAATGGAGAGACTGAGAGAAAAGATTATCTCTCCCAGATGGGTTGGAAGGAGGCAGATGACATCTCTGGAGGTGCAGGCTTGCTCCTTTTCCTGCTTCCACACCCTTAAAATGAATTAAACAAAAACATAGATATCATGAAACATTAACTTTGTATTTAAAAGGATTGTTTTGATCTCGACATATTTGCTGTTTTAGTGGAAAAAAAGAAATTAGGGATCTTTTAAACTGATGGAGTTTCCAAGCTGTTCTAACCTAACGAATAACTCTTAAGGGAAAATTGTAGGGAAAAAAAAACAAAAAAAACACTGAGAGTTGACGAAATGTTGGCATGTTGGGGTTTCCATAACAGGTGTATTTACAGACATTCAGCCAACTGTTGGTTCAAATGTTTGCAGTAGTTTTCCTTTCACTCTCCAAATCAGAGTTACAAGTCTGTCAGTTTTTCAGTCATTCTCTGTAATTACTGTCTAAACATCACGATGTGGACACAGTAGACATTTAAACCTGGTTACACAGAGAAAGTGAGAAGTAATTCCTGTTCTCCTGTGTCACATGCAGCTTCTCTGCAATCTCTGTGCAAAACAAAAGACACTTGCTCTGATTTAGCCTGTGAGCATAATTGATTTAGCAGTTCTGGTTCTTTTAAATAGATTTGTCAAACAAAAACAGATTTTTAAATCCCTCCTCACTGCTCTATTCTGCATAACAGATGTAATGATTTGTTTAGCCTCCTCTTTGATGGATTTTCTTTTTTATTTTTTAATCTCTTTGATTTAAGTAATAGTCATAGTAATAATTACGCTTAACTTTTAATTAGACTTATTTCCCATCTAAATTATTAGCTCAATTGAACTTTTCTTCTAAGTGTGACTCATTGAGGGTAATAAATTACATTAATTTTCTTTTTTTTTTAAAAGTTGCCCTGATCACAAACTCTAATATATTTTTTCATGAGAAAAAAAAGTACATGTGAAATGTTTTATGTCTTCTAGCAGAACTAAGTTTTCACTTCACAAAGCGACTTTATTTAAAAAAGAACTCTAATATAACATACTCTACTCCATACAGATAAACTGAGACATCATACAGAGACCTAATACTGAGGTGTTGAATGAATCTCATCAGCACCTTGGTTGCTTCTAGAAATTCTGCCCATGATAGAATAGAATAGAATAGAATAGAATAGAATAGAATAGAATAGAATAGAATAGAATAGAATAGAATAAAATAGAATAGAATAGAATAGAATAGATACATATTTTATTGTCTCACAATGGATATACATTTTGGAGTAACTTCAGCAAAGAAAAAATTACAATAACAACTGTGGAACAGCCGAGATGCACAGCAGAAATGTTATTTAAAATTAGTAAAAACTGTGCAAATGCCAGCATGTATGCAAACACCTACTAAGTGTGTTGGGAGCTGTGATGGTTATAAAATCTTATGAGTTTCTTTGTGTAACCACTAACCGCTTGAACTCAGCTGCTGCGCCAACAGACTGCAGAATAAAAGATGGCTGATGATGCTACTACAGAGCCAAAGAAAGGGAGCAGAGATTCAGAAAAAAAAATAATTTCACTTTTTATATATTTTTATTTAAAATATTTTCATTAACATCAAAGTGCAGCTGAACTTAAATGCCTTGTTTATGTGCACAAACTTGGTGAAAAAAAAGCTCACTGATGTATTGTCTGTGTGGATTTACTGTTTACCTCAAAAAAACGTTTGTCATCTTTTTCAAAGTAAAAAACAAAGACATAAATCACTAACAAAACACTAATATTTAAATAGAATAATGCTTGTCTTAGTTGATCCAAATCTGAGAAGGCAGGTTGGATCCAACTATAAGTAGAAAGACTATTTTTAAAAGGTAAGTATGGAAAAGCGATGGTTTTACAGCGAAAATCCAGAATAAGTGACAAGGAGGAGGACAGGACCATAAGTACACAAGGAGGGAAGGTTAACCAGGCTCAGGTGAAAGCAGTCAGGCAATTAAATGTGAGAAGAGAGGAAGTGAAGGGATAAACTGAAACAGGAAGTACAGACTTTATTCAGAAACCAACAGAAACAGGTGGACTAAGGCTCAGGGAGCAGATAAAGGAAAACATAGAACAAAGTAAGCACATAAACACTTCAGTATCTCTAAGGTGCCTACTTTTACCGTCTCAGTTTGTTAAACTATATCTTAAAAGCTGCTTTCAAATCTTTATTTTATTCCTATGCACATGTTTTGATCAGGATAAAAAGTGCATATGAAGTGATTTGGGGGAGTTAGAGGTGAAGGACGTTGTTCTTGTTGTAAAAGTTGCACAAACAAAGCAAAACAAATCTGGGAAACGGTGTGCCAAAAACAATTGGTAACACTTTATTTGAAGGGGGTGAATAAGACTGTATGACACTGTCATAAACATGACATAACACCTGTCATGAACATGAATAAGCCTTCATGAATATTTATGACTGTTGTCATAAAGCATCATTCTGTAAATTATGACACTTTTAATACAAAGTTGACATTATTCAAAATGTCTTTATGACAACTTGACATTAACTAAGAAATCATTACTGTTTAAACTTTACCTAATTTTTAAAGAGCAATCAGTAATTCTTTTATAACAAATTTATATCAGTAATGATTTCTTGGTTAATGTCAAGTTGTCATAACAAAGACATTTTGAATAATGTTAACTTTGTATTAAAATTTACCGAATGACGCTTTATGACAACAGTCATAAATATTCATGAAGGCTTATTCATGTTCATGACAGATGTTATGTCATGTTTATGACAGTGTCATGTCAGTCTTATTCACCCCCTTCAAATAAAGTTTTACCAAAAAATTTTAATCAGGTACGCACATTTTAGCTGCTGCTTCTGAAACTAACTATAAACCAGTGGGGAAAATTACTGGAGTAAATGTGAGTAACCTGCTCCAACCAGTCTAATTTAGAGAGTCTGAAAATAAAAACAAAGTCTGGCAGAAATCAAAGAAGACTCTGGTGTTTGTGAGCTCAGCTGTTTCTAAATTTATCCCCAAGTTTTTGTTAATCTTCTCCCTGCTGGTAAATCAACTGAATGTGCCACACCCAGAGTTTACATAGATTAAATCATCCTTCCTGCAAAAGCTTTAATTTATTCAGGTGCAGAGAGTTTCCTCATATTACAAAGAAATGGTCAATGTTGTTCTTTCTACATGTTCCCCTGCTTGAATGCACCCAATTTGAATGAATGGCTCATTAGGGGGCGCTTGGAGAACTTAAAGAGGAGAAGAAGAGATGACTTGGTTTCTGTTTGGTTGGTTGGAGCAGAACCATGTCTAAAACATGCAGATGGGAACGACCCACCTCTGATCCCCAACTCACTTCAATGTCTTTAATGTATGAAGCAATTGATACAATTCTGGACTAAATGTATGAATTTGAAGGACTGAATATATATAACACCCACACTTGCTAGAGGCCTTTCTGAATGGTTTTGTTTGCTTTTCTGGATTTATGTTTGCAACATACTGGACACTAAATTCTGCCTGTTTAGCTCCAGTTGACTTCAGGTCACGGGTTCACTACATGGAGCAAGAGTTACCAGACCTCCTGTTTTTTGGCAGCTAAAAGTGGTGTTCACATATGGAAAATAAAAGCTAAAATGATGTACTTCAAACAACGTTTATGGGCGTCGCCATGTTGAAGTCCCGACTTCTTAACTAGAACGCTGTTATCTCGGGTCTGACGTCAAACCCGGGTCCGAGTTACGACTTCCCAGTTAACTGGAACGCTGCGCATTGCTCATCCTGGGGACTCTAAAACTGTTAGAAACAGATGTGAGCACTCATAAAATGTTTTGGGAACAATTTTCCAAAGAAACCTCAGTGGTGGTCTGGACAGTTTATCTGCTTTAGATTAGCAGTCTGAACTTAATCTGTTCTGAGAAACGGTGAAAAACCCATCACTGAACTGACGTGACTCCAATGAAACACCAGAGTTGTTACCTGACTGGCTGCAAGTTAAGGCTGCAGCTAATTAAAATAATTAAGCAGCCATCTTGAAACTTTCTAAAACTGTGATTTGTTGTTGTTGTCATTGTTTGAAATGCTGCTTTTGTTTTAAATATGAAATGATCTTTTACAATTCTGGATTTAAGTGATCTGTGGATATCAGGACTCACATGGAGGAAGCAGTGAGTTAATCCTGATTTTAGAGGTGATTCTTCTAGCTGTGGTTCTGTAAATGCTCCTTGTCAGTCACACAGAAGCTGTAAAGCAGTAGGTCATAGAACCACTCTCTCTCATGCAGCATTACTTGTGCTACAGAGGTGTGCGTAGCAGCTGGCATTGAGTTTTTCAGGTTTTTTTTCCCATTTTAAGCTGAGCTTTGTAAAGTATCACATTTATTCTCCTTTTCTCAAAACATCTGTTGAGCAACATAATTAGATTAATTAAAACACGTGTAGCACAAACAACTCGGCAAAAATGTTACACAGATGACACAATGCCATTCAAGTGACTGAATCTATTGATGCATCTCAGTCAGGAAGTTGCAAAATTTGTTTTAATCATAATTCAACATCTAAAAGACGCTTAGAAGCTTGAACATGGATTCACTACACAGCAATCTATTTCAAGTATTAAGTTATTTGGCATGCAGTTAATGAAAACTTAAAATTCAGTTTTTCAGAAAGCCAGAATATTTCATCAGTTTCATTGCAGAAATGCACACTGCACAGGAAATGCATCAAACCATTGGCAGGGGCTCCTTTTGTATAAATTACTGCGTCAATGCAATGTGAAGGTGACAGCTGCTTTAAAGAATTACTAAGAGTTGCTTTAATAGTGGCGTTCAGCTAATCTCCTTTGCTTATACAACTTTTTCTATCACATTTTTTCTTGTACTCAACTTTCCATTAATATGCTTGCTCTCTGAACAGCCAGTTTACTTTACTTGCTTAACATAATTCTAAAGTAAAACCCTTTTTACTTGGCCCAAATATTTCAACTTCCTGAGAAACTGAATTGGGTATTTATTAGCTTTAATCCATAACTGAGTTCTGATTGCACAGAATGGATGTTGTTGGTGGTTTCACTTTCACCTGAACCATGTGGAAGCTCCAGTATGAGATCTACTGATCTGAGAATGTTTTTAGCTCACAGTTCAACTTTTATAGCTATACATTGTTTTCTCAATTTATCTTCAGATATACAGAGACTTCACCAAACCAGTGCTAAGAAAATTTTACCAGAAGACGAGAAGAGCTTTAGTTTTGAGGCTGAGAAGATTTCCAAGAGTCCCAACTTCCGTGCAACCTCAGCTTTGTTCTTTTTTCTTATTCAAATCATTTTTGCTCTCTTTTGTCTTTTTCTATTTGTCTTATTTACTGCTGCTTCTGTTGTCATCCATGTCTCAGTTTTTCCCACTTTATCCATTTCCTATGTGTATGCAATATTTCTACCCTTCTTTCCCTTCATTCTTAAAATATTTAGTTGGCTACCTTTACAAAAGTACCGTCTAGCAACAGCAATTATAAGCAAACGAAAGACGAGGGAAATTTAGATTGATACAGTAAGATGGATTAATACAGACAGCAAAACCAAGGAGGACGTTTATAAAAGAGAGAAAGGACAAAAGAGTCACTTCCAGGAAGACTGACAAGTGGGTCAGCGTGGCATGTTGGATAGGAGAAATATACAAAATCACATCCTCATATCTCTGTTTAGCATCAGAACTCGTATTGAACTTTCATCAACCAACGGTGCATCATGCCACAGGAGAAACAAAAATGTCAGAGGCAGCTGGAAGACGCCACAGACGCATTCGACGATTTAAACTGACAAAGGAGCCGTTGTCCTGCTGCTTTCATGACTCTGGTGTTTGTGAGCCCGCAGGCAGGTTGTCAGATGCACAACAGCACCGAGACGTATTGAAATCTGCAGCATATCTGATAATGAATGTGGAGCCGCGCAGTTTCTGCGCTCATAATAAAATACTAGTTTGGGGATGTCATTGTTACATGAAGTTAAAGTGACAAACGGAGGAGAAAAGCAGCTTTGACAGCTTGTTGTGTTGCTGGATAATTGTTTGTTTTGACAAGATGATAAATTAACAGTTTTCTATGAAATGTTTATTTTTGGATGTCAGGAGAAAAGCTTGTTGTGTATAGGTCACGTAGGAACTTTCTTGTGATCACAAGCAAACAAAGTAACAAAGACGGTTGATTTGAGTTTTAAAGGAGCGGAGAGTTTTTCTTTTACAACCTCTGTCCTATTTTTATTTTTAAGCATTTTTGTCAAGCTTTAAATGTAGTAAAGTTATCTTTTATCCAGGGTTTTGTGGCTTTCAATGCCATATACCATTAAGAATTTTTATTTTACGAGTGAGAAAAAAAAATTGCAGGAGTGAGAGCAAATAAAAGTGATAGAAGCAGATTATCTGTGCATAGAGATGGAGCTGATCCAGTTTGGGACGTAAAGCCATAAGTCAAAAATCCATTAAGTCAGGGAAAAGAAAAAAGATTTTAATATTAATAAAGAGAAATTAGATTTTAGGAGCTCTATTACAGCCTTAGAATATATTGTCACACTCTTAAGAGCCACTTTTCCTCCTCTTGTTTGTGGTGCTTAGTCTGATTTTGCTTAATAATTGGAGCTGTAGTGTTTAACCAAGAACTTACTCAAAATTTCTCAACTGGTTGGCATAAAAACTTTCACATATAATCTTATTTTTAGGCACTTTAAGCTTTTGTCAACGTATGCAGACATATTCATACAACTTGAACTCTTTCAATATTTTTTTTATTTTGCAGCTTTAAACTCCAACTTCAAACCTGCCGAGTTTGTGACTGTCCAATCCAACTGACAACTAGGGTAAGAAAGATAGCCTCTCGTCCCCATGATAGTGCAGTCGACAGACTGAGAATCCAGGAAACCTCTGCGGATGTTTTGAGTTAGATGATTAGTCCATACCACAATGAGTTTCCAAAATGTTTTTCAATATATTCTAATTTTCTGAGATACTCAATTTTATGATCTGTAAAACATAATCATCGGTAATACAAGAAAAAAAAAGGCTTGAAATATTTCACTTTGTGTTTAATGAAATAATATGAGCTTCAGGTTCCTAAATGAGTGGCAAAACGTTTTTACCATATTCTATTTTTCTGATATTCTGTATATCTGCATGAATCAATAGATGTGGGGCCTGAAACAATAACTGCTGAGTTTCTGCACCACTTTCTACTCTGAAAATGACTTGAGGAACGCCAAAGTGGTGAAGTGACTCTGAAATGCAAGAATTTGTATTTCTGTGTCCACCTTCTATATGCTGCAAACTTACATTTACAACCACATAAAGAAGATGCCTTGCAGACAGTTGTTAAATCTGAACCCAATATTAACATCTTCTGTACAAAATACGTGTTTCTTTTTTATGATGATTAAATGGCTTCACAACTCATCAAGAGGGCTGCTAATAAACTCTTTAAAAGTGCTACAACTAAGAATGTGATTTTTCTTTTTCATCAAAGATAAATAGCCTCATCAAGCAAAAAAAGCACTCATTTTAGTTTCAAGGTAACTGAATTGTATTTGTTTCACTTAGAAACTCTTCTCTAATGACTAGTATTCTTTTAATTTCCCCAAAGTGGAGAGCATTAAGTAGAACCAGTTTGCATGAAATCAAATGTTCAGAAGTATTTTTTTTCCCCCCCTAAGGTTTCAGACTCTTTGAACATATCAGTTTCTAAACTGGGTTGAATTAAAAGATGGCTGCTGTGTTAAAAATAAAATGCTAATAAATGTGAACTTCAGTTTTTGGTAAACAAGCTGGTTTAACAGTTGGTGGCTGCACACGCAATTACAGTTACAGATCATCATGTGAGTCAGTGGCTCAAAAAGCATTTCATTAATAGAATGAAAAAATGTGCCAAAAGTACAGAGGGAGGTTTATTTAGTCAAAAATGTATATTTTAATAAAAGCGCAGTTTAGAGAAAAGTTTAAGCCTTTAACCAGTGCAGGTTTATTTGATGTCTTTACATGATCTGCAATGTTTTGCAGCCATGTGGACTTCATAATATTTTTGCTTCAGAGGATTTTTTCTGGATCAGCCTGTCAACATATGTAAAAATGTTCTTTGCTACAAGAAAACTAACATGAAACCTTTAGTGTTTTGTTTTGTCGCAACCAAAAAGACCTTTTTTAGTGGGATTATATGAGACAAACACAAAGTAGAACATAACTGTAAAGAGGAAGGAAGAAAATATTTTTTTGTGATCAAAAATCTGAACGGTTTTATGTGAATTTGTATTTTGTGGTAATTGCCACAGTAAGCTGTTTGCTGCATGTCTTTACTCTAAAATAGCTCGGGTTCAGTCATTCTGCTAACATAAATTTCAACATTTACCACAGATTCTGGACTGAGATCTGGATTTTGACTGGGCCACCCTTACAGTAAAAAAAAAAAAAAAAAAATCAGTAATGTCATTGTCCAGTTTGGAATTGAATTATTTCTACCCTCTGTTGCATCCTCTAAGATTGGTTTCTTCTGAAATTACTCCTTTTTTCAGCTCCCTCCATTCTACTTTCCATCAGTTCTGACAAATGTACATTATCCCAGCTGAAGAAAAACATTCCCACAGCATCATGCTGCCACCACCATGTCTAACTGAGAAGTTTAAAAGTTGCCATAGTTCTACAACCAACCATCCCTTTGAATTCAAAAGGAAAATGTATAAAATATAGATTCATCAATTTGTTATGCAGCATTTGAAAAAAAATTGTGGCAGGTAAAACTTTTCTACATGAAAATAAGAGTGAAATAAATGAGGATTTCAGTTTTGTTAACACAAACGGGTTAAAAAATTGGGAGCATCTTAATTTTTTGTCATGTTTTTTCTTCCGACTACTTTGTGAGTGATACTTTTTTTTTAAATCAATCCATGAAATTAATATTTTTTTCTGCTATGAAACAATAAGCTAATAGTTTGACTATATTAACCTATATTAACATCACAAATCACTTCAGTAAAGTGAATTATTTTTTTTTTTTATATTGGGTAAAAACCAATAAATAAAATGTCAATGATTAATCTCTTTGTGTCAGCACCTTCTTAAAGAAACATTACACACAAATGAACATTTCTTTCCTTCTGCAGGGCCAAACACTGATAAACTAAATTTGTGCTCTTGATGATTTCCCGCTCTGGGACACACAGTGGAGCTGTGCAGATGGATCTTTCTGGAACAAAGATGGTGCTTCTTTTCCACAAAAGCCTCTAGGAAATCCGAGGAGATGTGACGACAGCAAACAGGTCACGCAAAACTCACATTTAGCACACTCGCTGATGGACACAAATGCAGATTGTACGCATCATACTGTATGTTCTTTGTTAACTGACATTATTTCTGTAACCACAAACGCAAACCCAAAATATCCTCTGGGCTGCTTATACTGCAGCTTTCATGTTTAGCAGATGGTGAGATTTCTGTTGGGTGGGCAATGGCTAGTGATTTCTTTCTGCTAAAAAGAAGCTTGATTATAGAGTGATGGATGAACTGTTTGACCTTGCTCATTCCTCATGAATAGAGCCTAGCAACATGTTTTCTTTGTGCTCTGATTAACCAAAGTTTTTTTGAAAAACCAGCCTTGTCAAAGAACTGAAGGTGCTTTCAGGAGGCTCTTTTTCCAGTGTGAACATTTAGGGAAACATTGTTCAGGGCGGTGGTACAGCTGTTGGCAGGTAGGATCCAGGTTTGAATCCCAGATGGGGCCTTTATGTGTGAAGTGTCCTCCACCTTCCCCTGCCATCTAAAATCACGCAAGTCCTTTTTCTGCGTTACTGTGTGATGGAACGGTGAGTTGTCCGTGGTGTTCACTGCCTCTCTCTCATTAACTGTCTGCAAAGCTGAAGGGTTGAGCGGATATGAGAAATGGATTGATGGATGCATTGCTCCTCATGAAAGTCTTTGCCAGTGTCTGACATTTTCTTGTGGCGCATTCCGGTCAGCCAGGTGTCAGTTGGTCCTAATTAATATTTTTGGTCTAAAGAAGAAATTATATTATTAACTCGCTTTTGTGCTGCCGTGTCTTTGTGCATCTGCTTGAATTTTATTGAAAACTGAGAGTGAATTATCTTTTTCTCCAATATGTTTTAATATTTCACAGTTTGTTAAAAAAGTCACTTTTTAAACATTCAACATTCATTGTCATCTCCATTTGACAATTCAGTCTTAAAGCCAAGACTGAATTATGTCCAACTCTGTGCTCCAATTTGATTAGCTGATTTGACTTTTATATAATTAGTTTAGATAAAAGTGGTATTGTTCGATGATAATTCAAAATGTGAATCTACCTTAACAGTGACTTGGTTGTTTGGTAGCCATTGAAATACTGACCATTCAAAAATAAATAAGTGAAACAAAAACAACTTGATTGGGAGTCAGAGTTGATGTTTTGGATTAGGTTAGGAGTCAAAGTGCCAGCTCAGATTTTATTTTAAGTGTGATTATAAGATTTTAATTTATATTATTTACGACTAAAAGGATGTTTTAAAGGTTAATGCAGCAAACAATCTATGCTTTCTTAATGTCTGTATTTATATAACTATTTGACAACAAAGAACAAAAATAAGTTGTGCAAACATTCATTACATCAGTCTATGCTTTGTAACAGAGTTTTAAAATGAATCAATTTAACGCCAACTGTACAATTTCTATCATTTTTATTGCCATCAAGTAACATAATTTTCACTGGATGATTGGAGATGAAAATCAGTTTGATTTGCTGGTAGTAGAACATGTTTGAAAGAGTCTTTTGAATTCAAAATTCAGGCGCTCTTAGAAAGTTTTATTTCTAATTTAAATCGCCTTGTATTTTTCAGCAAAATGAAAAAAAAAATATTTCTATTAATTTTTTTGTTAAACTTCAATCTAAAAGTGAGAAGGAAGAAAGGCATGGAGGAGGACAAAATCATACCTCGTTATCAGAAGAGGTTAGTTATGAAAAAAATTTAAGTGTAGACTGAAGACACTCCAGGTGAGACGGTTCAACATAACCTCAGACGAGCTGAAGCATCCTCTAATTTGTCTTCACAAAAGGAAAAGCTGTTCACTAATTGGTAAAGAGGTTGAATTAAAGTCTTTTATACACTGAATCTTCTTTCTTTTATACAGGTAATGGATGTATTTAATATTTAGACGCACTGACTGAATCGCCAGAGAGCTTAGCTGAAGAACCCAGGGTCACTGGTTCAAGTTTCCTTTTAAATTCCTCATCTGAGTATATTTATTATTTTTCATTTCTCTACATCTTTCAATCAAAAATGTAGAGAAAATATTGAAAAGCTTCAGCAGCTGAGTGTCTAGGCCTCGCAATGAATTATCTCAACACAGCTGCGGCGGGTTTGGTGTGTTTCGATTTGACACACCGCTTTCTGCTTTTGACAATCAAGAGGCAGCATCTAAGGGGAAAAACTTGAAAAAGCTCTCGCTTATGAAGACTCAATAGCTCAATCAGCAAAGCAGGCAGGTTTAGAGGTGATGAGATCAAGTCACATCTCTGCTTCTAAAAAGGCGTTTGAAAGCTGACAACAGTGTAAAAGACTGAAAGCCTGCCAGTGAAGCAGCTGCCGGCATGTTGAGGCTTTAACTCAGTCAGCTGATGGTCTGGAGGTTGTTGGTTTGAGTCCCATTTAATAGGTACTCCGCTTACACAGTCATGAGTCTTTAATCTCCTCGACTGGCAGAGAGCTTGTTTTGATTTTCTGTTCAATGACAAAAAGACGACAATCTGAGACAATTTAAAATGTTTCCCTGAATTATAATCCAGCTATGATATGTTTATGTAAAAAAAAGTAAACAAAGAAAATTAACACACAATTTCCAATAAAATAGTTATGATTTTATTTTTAGAAACTTTTAAAAAAGTCTTTTTTTTATTGACAAATGAAGTAAATTTTCAAATTCATGATAAATCAAAAAATGAATACTTAATATTTAACAAAAATTTTATTTACTTCATTAACAAATTAGCAGATTTAAAAAAAAAAATCTAAACAATTAACAACAACCCAATAGCTCTGCACTCTCTGTCCCCCAAAATTGAATATTTCCTTCTATTTGTCCATTATGGGCTTCCATACAAACCACAAGGATAAGGAAAGCATTATTAATACACACTGAAGAATGCATAATATTAGGTGTATTTTTTCAGTTATGGTTCATATAAACCATGAAGCATAAAAGCAGCTGCTATTCTGACCCCAGTGTAAAATAAGATTTTGTGACTTTTATTAAGACCTGAACTCTATAAAAGCAAATATTGAGGGATTTGAGGCCTTTCTTATTGTTTCTGGGTCATGTTTCATAGAATATGTATGCAATCATATTCATAGTGTGTGTGGTTTGTACATTTCAACACAAATGTAAAATATATTCATCCTTTTATTTATGCACTCAGAATTAGCTGAACCACATGCACAAAGATCTGCTTGAATACAGCAGCAT